GCAAGTTTGACTGCGGAGGATGCTTGGGGGAGAAAGAGATGGATGGCATAAATGATCAACGTCATCATCAACTGTCACAGAAAGTCACTTTTTCCAAAGCAGACAAGAACTGGAGACACATCTTTAAAGTGTATTGATGTCGAAATACTACAGCATTAATTATTCATGACTAAACGCTATTTTATGAGCGGTTCCGGACCTATTATGGCTTGTACAAGAAAATCTTGGGTGATTTATGTACAAGCTGAATCAGTCCAGCTGTACAACATATTTGTAGACTCTAACAGGGTTGTCACGATACCAAAAATTCAATAGCCAATACCAATAGGAGTGATATTTCATGATTCTCAATATCAGTTCAGCAAAAACGAATGATATTGCATACACTCTTATATTCATATTTAATAATGATTTATATCTACTATAACAATTTATATGTAGTATAACACATTAAATAAAAAAAAGAATATAATTGTATACATAATTGTCGAATCTTAATACAGCTGCCAAATAAACATGGCACTGTATGCTGCATATGTTGTTGGCTCCTTGACAAATTAAAATGTTATTATTATTATTATTATGAAAAAATACCATTCAAAAGTTTGGGGGAAAAGTCTCTTATGCTCACCAGGGCTGAATGTATTTAATCAAAAATACAGTAAAAACAGTAATATTGTAAATTGTTATAAAAATATAAAATAACAGGTTTAAAATATAATTTATTCATATGATGGCAAAGTTGAATTTTCAGCATCATTACTCCAGTCTTCAGTGTCACATGATCCCTCAGAAATCATTCTAATATCCTGATTTGCTGCCCAAGAAACATTTCATATTATTATCAATGTAGAAAACAGTCATGTTACGTAATATTTCTGTGGAAACCATGCAACATTTATTTCATAATTCTTTGAGAAATAGAAAGTTCAAATGAACAACTTGAAATAGAAATCTTGTTTTTAACCTCGTAAATGTCTTTACTGTCACTTTTGATCATTATTATATCTTACTAAAATATCTTTAATAATCAGTTTGTGAAACACTTTACAAACAAATTAAATAAGCTAAATAAGTACTTAAACCAAAAATTAAAAACAATAAATGTGGCATCTTATAATGTTGTTGTAATAATAAAATACTAAAAGAATGCTTACACAATACACAATGTGTTTAATATACTGTAAATATTATGTCTGTTGGTTACTTCAATTTATTCTCCATTACAAAGTAACACTTTAAAACTGCTAAAAAAAAAATGACTCAATTCAATTTCTTCAACAAGACAACCACACATTTTTCCAGCAAATGAGCTAATGCCATACTTCCAACTCTTAGACAAAGAAACATTTGAGAATAAAAGACCAACTAGCATCACTACAAGCACATAACATAATTATCTATAAAAAATAGCTCCTCAGAAAAAAAATGATGAATTGGGAAAATATTTGTCTAATCTGATTTCTTTGTTGCTTTGCCACTTCCTGTAGCTGCCAAATTTAGAAAGCGGTCCTCTTTTGAATGTGACGCAGCCCACTCATCTGCTACATTTCGGCACAGATTATAACAGTTAGTTCTGGTCACCCAATATAAATTGATTTATTGATTGTTTAAAATCAGTCTTATCATGCAGCAAAATTCTGAATTTAAGAATTGTCTCACAATTCATGAGGCAGAATTAGCAACAATACATAATTACACAATTACTTACTATTTTGAAGACTTTGGGCTAAATTAAAAGAGGTATGGGAAGAATGAGTTTATTAATATTTTAATAGTTAATATAAAATTAATTTATTCAATATTATATGGACGGAATTATTCATAAACATGTTATCACACATATGGACATACGGGTTATTTAATTATTTAAATAAATTACATTTATATATACACACACAAGCAAGATGTTATGTTGATTTTATGCAATAAAGATACAATATACTCAGTATTGTGCGTTCATATATACAGTATATAGCAGTGGCGTTCCGTCCATATAAGCTGCGAATGCTCCGCATACCCAGGCCATTTGAGAGAATAAGTTCACGGGATAATTCATATAAACGTGGGAATCATATATGGGGAAGTCATATATGGGGAAGTCGTGGCCTAATGGTTAGAGAGTCGGACTCGTATCCCAAAGGTTGCGGGTTCGAGTCTCATACTAGCAGGGATTGTAGGTGGGGAGTATACAGTGAATACAGCGCTCTCTCCCACCTTCAATACCATGACTGAGGTGCCCTTGAGCAAGGCACCGGACCCCCAACTGCTCCGGGTGTGTGTTCACAGTGTGTGTGTGTGTGCACTTTGGATGGGATAAATGCAGAGCACTAATTCCGAGTATGGGTCACCATACTTGGCCACATGTCACTTCACTTTCACTTAAACATGATTATAAGTTGATGCCTTGTCATTTGAAATGCAACTTAAAGAGTTATGAATAAGTACGTAAATTTTTTTTTTTTTGCAGTAATTTTCTGTAAATCTACATCAGTTACGGTTGTTTCCGGGTGAGCGGATTCTCCGCAGATTTTCGCCTCTGCTCTGTTGCTGACTCGTCAGGATTATAGCGAGTTCTCAGTGAGTTGCTGGTCTGCGGCAGATTTAATGCGCGAGGTAAGCTGTCCGCAAAGTGCTCGCCCAAGCGGAAAAATGTACTGTTGCTGTCAGATCTCGATTGCCGAAAATACATTGTGTTTGATGCAAAACCAACTCGACTAAATCAAAAGAAAAAAAAAAACACTAACTGTGTATTTTTATTTTCTCAAGCAAAGCAAAATTGAAAAGTCCACTGAACAACTTACAAACGTGGGCTATATACAATTTTTATAATAACAAACATCATATTGTTTTGCGTATGCTCGTGTCGCTTACAGTTGAAGTCCTTCTCTGATTTTATTATTGTTTGCAAGGTTGCAACGTTACTTTACAATATTTTAAATACTTTTGGGTATTTTGCATGGCCTGTTATGTCACCCGGGTGGGAGTTTTAACTCCTATTCACTGTGAATAAAAAATAATCTAGCTGATGCAGAGAGACATATAGACCGGGGGAATCCCCCCATCTCCCCACCCTCCGATTACGTATCATAACACAACAACGTGTAAACCTTATTTGGCGGTTTTTACTTGGAAAACCAGCTATATTTTTCTTGCATTCGAATAACAATGGATAAACCTGAAATTATAGAAGAAGGATTGGAGATTGGGGATTGGAGATTGGATTTCATTTACAAATAAGGTAGGAAATGTGCATACTTTTAAATCGACACCTGCCAGAGTGTTTCTTATTTGTCATCTGTGCATTACACCTATGCTAAAATGGGCTGAAGATTAATCAAAATATATGCAGCACATTCAACGTGATTGTATTTTTCTTCCTAAAAAACTATTTTATGCCACAATCAGAAAACCACACACCAAGTTAAAGCCTTGAGGAGAGAGTATACAGATGTGGTAAATAGCCTTAAGCTGGACTGGGGGCTAAACTGTGTCCGTTTATTGAGAGAGCTCGAGCCTCTTGCTGACTCAGACTAGAATAAAAAAAATTAAAAAAAAGTTTTAGGATGAAAGTTAAATTCAAAAACAAGGGCCCAAAGAGACAGAGGGACTGGAAGAATGTCTAGCACATATTACTGACATGCATGACATCCTGCTGTGTTTTGAATACTATAGTGCAACTGGATTTTTATACTCCACCACAATGCTTTGCTATGTGCATGTGTTGCTAAGGTGTTCAACTTGGATTTTAGTGCATTGCTATTCAGTTGCTAGGGTTTTCTAAGGGGTTTCAAAGGGACATTTAGGCAAGTCATTTCACTCTGTGGTCATTTTGGTAACGTCCACCAGACAGCTACTTTAATATCAACTAAAAAAAAACATACCTACACACACAATTCACTGCTGTTTCCAGCTGAAATGAACACTAGCAACTTTTATTCTTTTTTTACACAAATTATGATTACAGTGGCAGATTACCAATTAATAAAGATTTAGTTTCAAGCATTTTATCTCCTCAAGACAACTTGTACCATAGTCCATGATTTGTAAATTAATACATTTTGATGTTTGCACCACATAACCATGCCTCAAATGTATAGCTTTTCTGTAGTAAATTTGCTCAGTAGCCCACCTTGTACACCACTTCACTTGTGCCGTGAAGAAAAATGAGTCACAATATTTAATAAAATGTGAATTAAATAAATGTTAATTTTATTCCATTATACATACATTTAAGAACGCCACACAACCCTCCCTGTCTGTATTAATTTAATTTTACAATATGCATGTGATGCAATTTCACCACTGCACACCTCGTTTTGAACATCTTTGAAATCTTTTTTCAGATTTTTTTTTTTTCGGAAACCCCCACTTTACAATCTTAATTAGCTCACATTACAAAAGTAAGAATGCTTTGGATCCTTGCCGACCTTCAAAAAGGCCATGTGAAAAAGCACCTATTGTGCAATAAACACTAACAAAGCACCTCTTCTAACAAGCAACACAGTTGGCATCATTAATAACAGTTAAATCACATGCTGCTGGATTAATTGATAGAGGCAATCAAAGTGATGGCAGAGTTAATGAACATTTCACGGTGGAGGTAGAGACATGAGATTTGGCAGAGAAACTCTAGGAGAAATACAGGGGAGGAGCAGCCCAGCATGGATGAAATGTTTGATGCTTCAGGGTCTTTGTGTAACTCAGGAAGAGACCAATCATGATTTATGGCTTTCTGACCTACATCCCTCGCTCGGTATAGGGATGCTGCTTGACGCTACAGGGAGGCAGGTGAGGGTGGAAGTGGGTATGCACACAAACAGCTCTGTCTCTGGAGGGCAACTGGGCTTGCCTACACATGCTGTCAGAGAATTGAGAGATGCTGATGGGATTATATGATCCACAGATTGGACAACCAAGTGCTGAGAGACTGCCAGAAGACCTCTCCTCTGGAAAAATGAGGTGTAAATGAAATATGAACGAGCGAGAATAATACTGACCTCCGGAGTGAGGGGGCGGCCCACAGAGAAGCACCACTCCTTGTCCTTCCCGGACAGACACAGAACTCCGCTTGTGGGATTTGAAGTTTTCCAAATCTGAAAAAGAAGAGAAAACCGAGAAAAAAATTACACCTATGCTAAAATGGGCTGAAGATTAATCAAAATATATGCAGCACATTCAACGTGATTGTATTTTTCTTCCTAAAAAACTATTTTATGCCACAATCAGAAAACCACACACCAAGTTAAAGCCTTGAGGAGAGAGTATACAGATGTGGTAAATAGCCTTAAGCTGGACTGGGGGCTAAACTGTGTCCGTTTATTGAGAGAGCTCGAGCCTCTTGCTGACTCAGACTAGAATAAAAAAAATTAAAAAAAAGTTTTAGGATGAAAGTTAAATTCAAAAACAAGGGCCCAAAGAGACAGAGGGACTGGAAGAATGTCTAGCACATATTACTGACATGCATGACATCCTGCTGTGTTTTGAATACTATAGTGCAACTGGATTTTTATACTCCACCACAATGCTTTGCTATGTGCATGTGTTGCTAAGGTGTTCAACTTGGATTTTAGTGCATTGCTATTCAGTTGCTAGGGTTTTCTAAGGGGTTTCAAAGGGACATTTAGGCAAGTCATTTCACTCTGTGGTCATTTTGGTAACGTCCACCAGACAGCTACTTTAATATCAACTAAAAAAAAACATACCTACACACACAATTCACTGCTGTTTCCAGCTGAAATGAACACTAGCAACTTTTATTCTTTTTTTACACAAATTATGATTACAGTGGCAGATTACCAATTAATAAAGATTTAGTTTCAAGCATTTTATCTCCTCAAGACAACTTGTACCATAGTCCATGATTTGTAATTGAAGAACACCTCAAAACTGGCTTCATCTAACACAATCATTACCAGGAGCTCTTATATAGGTCAGATATTCTAAACAAAGCTGCATTCAACAGCACTAACTCTCACGCCACATGCTAACGGTGACATTTAATGGCACATATTGCATAAATCAGAAGAATTAACCCACATTAACCTCGTCTCCAATGATCCTGGTTCTATGGTGTCACCTGGAGCACTGATGCAGAGATGAAGTGGCTCTTTATAGGCTAAATCAATGCTAAATCTTCCTCACTTCCTCCAGACCAAACAGACAAGTGATTGGTTCTGCTTCAGGGCTAGATTTAAATGCAAAATTATGGTGCTAAATGGTTTATGAAGATGACTAAAAGGTCAGCTAGGATGTGTCATGTTGGCTAGAGGACAGGTCTATTAGGGGGCTTTGGGTAATTTTTCTTAAAACATAAATTTCGTTTTAACCCTGGGAGTCAACGGCAATTTGAAATACTGGTCTTCTATTAGGGAAAGCAATTCCTGTGTATTTTTCACAGATTATAATGTGACTTTGCGGTAAAGGCTCATACACCTCTGCAATGAGCAGTTTGTAATGGAGTAATTTATGTAATTGCTTTTTCGCTGGGACAGAGAATCAGCAGCAGTGAGCTGTTGAAACCGCAGGTTATTTTATTTTTCAACGGATGATGGTAAATGGGTTCGGAATTGCACTAAATTATGTTGAAATTCACACTAATTTTATTAACTTGTGTTTTTAAAATCACTGCTTTGCACGAAAAAAAAAATACCAGTGGTTAAATTAAAACAAAACAAAAATCTGTATCAGGACAGCTGGGCCTTATTCCCTAAAGCCCACCAAATGCTCAGCTTCCAAAGGCCACCGAAATGAATTCAAATCACAGATGTGTCATGAATTGCATGAAGCTTATTGACAGACTGTTAATACTTGTAATATTTGCAGGCTAATTACCCATATGAATGTCAGGGCATAGCCGGGAATGAGGCATGCAAATTATTCAACATTTGTTCATATTAATGTGACACAATGTTATAGTCTTTGTTTTGGAAGGAAATTACACAAATTCTGATTCAGTATCTGTTCGTGTAAAACAGGCTTCACAATGCATTCAGTCAAATGGAGTCTTTCTTTCATTACTACACTGGCAGATGGACAGACAAAAGGAAAAATAAAGATGTAATAAAAACAGAAAAAAATTACACCACCCTTTTATAAGCTACTACATTACAGCATGTTAGAATATTCACAATTAATGCATACCAATATAATAATTTGTAATTCCAAAGAGCAAACTGCAGGAATTCAAAAATTGTAATGAATTTTTTTTAATATATATATAT